TATATATATATATATATATATATATATATATACTAGCGTAAAAGCCCCTCTATCTGGCGGCATTTAACATTTAGCTCTTTCGACAGTTTCTTGACTGGAGTTTCGGCTAGTTCAGGTGTTTGAGACTCCCTAAATCTTTCCATATTTTCAGCACTGGAATCTCTCCTAGCTGCCGTTTGATCTGGGCTTTTATTTGCACAGGACTTTCTTTTTCTCGCTGTGGCCTTGACTGTTTTGATTACAATCTGATCTTCTGTTGGCGGAGATTTCTTTTTGTGAGGCATACTGATGCCGTATTCGATAGGCAACAATAAACTGCAGAAAAAAAAAACAAAAAACAAAACTGATCCCTTCATTAAAGCGTTGCATTAATATTTAAGCTTACCTTTTAAAAGTTTAACGATAATTCTTCTGCCGCCACTTAATTTAAAGACAGTTTGATGTACGTAGGCTCTTACTTTCTGTACAAACAATTATTTTTATTTCATTTTGATGACTTTTGGTGGATTTCGTAATTAATTTAAATTATTCCCAAATTTATTTCCAAGTTATAAATTGTTATCATACAAAAAAAAAAAAAAAAAATTGTCGCAAAAAGTCACATACTGAAAATAATCGCAGTGATGAAAACTTGGGAATCCAGAATTTTAGGATTGTGAGTCCGGATCCGGCTGGGAAGAGTTTTAATTTGCTCACAGAGTTGGCCTGATTCCAAAATGGTAAGATATGTTCGGCTATGGCCTCTAGGAGTAAAGTTGAAAAAGTGTGACACAGTGACACACTGACATTCGCATTTATTTATGTAGATGTGCGTGTGTGCGTGTGTGTGTGTGTGTGTGTGTGTATGTGTAATTGTGGTTAGTAAGTTTGCTTTCCGATCATGAGAACTGGGTTCGAATTTCACCATGGCCGACTCGATTTGTCAGGAAGGTGACTTTTTGATTGTAATGGTCCTGTGTACTACATTAGAAAAGTGCCTGAAAACGACACCAAGGTTTGACACAAGCCTCCTCAGTCGAATCGAGTAGACGGAAGGGTTCCGTAGCCGTCGGTGGTTGTGTTAGCAAGTCATCATGATACCTGATTATGCGGTCTCTCTCAGAAACTGCAATTAAGGTTCGTTCAGTACAGTTGCAATATAAACAACACGAGGGTTCCGTGGGTGTTGAATAAAGCATAAATGTACCTGAGCAGGGGCCTACAACAGGCACTGTCTAACAGCACTAGCAGAGTGGTGTGGTCAGAAAACGAGTAACTGGAAACACACACGTACACACACGCACACACACACACACACACACAGACAGATATATATATATATATATAAAAGTGAACATTGAAGTCAACACTTAGATTCAGTCATCAGGCCTGACGATTGCGCCTAGCATGAAACAGACTGTTGACTTCAATGTTCACTTTTATATTTACACACGCCCTATCTCTGATATTGAGCACTTTATCCCATAAATATAGCACACCTTAAGACTATATTTTTTATATATGTGTACACACACACACACACACACACACACACACACACACACACACATATATATATATATATATATATATATATATATATATATATATATATATATATAGTGTGTTGGGGCAGCAGATCATTATTCAAACATATTGTTAAATATAACAGACAATATCTTTTATGTTTGATCATGAGCCGTTCTAAGCTTCGTATAGTTGCTTTAGTTCAGTTGGACTGTTTTCTTACTTTGTCTTTATTTCCTCCTGAAACTGAAGCCACTATACGAAGCTTAGAACGGCTCATGATAGACATTCATTGTCTGTTATATTTTAACATATATATATATATATAGTTATATATATATATATATATATATATATATATATATATATATATGTGTGTGTGTGTGTGTGTGTGTGTGTGTGGTGTGTGTGGGTGTGAAAATATATAGAAAAGAGGAAAGAACTCGTTAGGAAAATAATCCAAAGTTCTTTAGTATTTTTGTTATTATTTAAAAAAAAAACAGTGCTCGATACAAAAGTAGAGCATAAATATAATTATTTATTTAAAAATATGATTCTATCGCTACATAAGAGTTCTCATGTTTCAAAACAAGAGCCGAAAACTTCAATATAATTATTTGAATTAAATTGAATTAAAGTACCAAGCTCTGTTCCATCTTCAAGCGAAATTTTTTTTGAATAACTAATTCTTGAAATTTACGCGTTTTATAAGCATATTCATTATTAAAATTACTATGGTAATGGCTAGAGCAATTATTTAAAAAAAAAGGGAGGGGCGTAAGGGTTAATAATTTGTATCAATATCTCAGTTATATTCAAAGAGGTCAAGTCAGGGTAAGGTTGGGGTGTTTAAATTCAAAGCGGAAGATCTCATCGTCTAGTCTGGTTAAGTGTCTATGGAGATTTATTTATTTTTTTATTTTATTTTATTTTTTTAGTTATTTATTTTTTTAGTTATTTATTTTTTCCTGAAAGGGTTTTGTGTATATAAAAAAAAAAAACTGTCATAATTCGCTAACATTTGTTTTTTTGACGACTTCAGTTTTTTTTTCTATTGGGTAGGGCATTTAAACTTTTTATTTAGACTATGGAGTTTAAAATTTGTATTTATTATTTTATTGTTTGTTTGATTTTATGCTAATTATTCAATGCGAAAATTTGATGATGTCGCCAAAAATTGTTAACTCATGTCTATTGTTTAATAAATTTTATTATTTAGAGACTTGATAATATGTAGTTTTTCATGTAGGCATAAGGGCATGGGTCATCCCAAGTTTTACAAGTTCTAGTTTTGTTTATAATTTTCCATTTTACTTTTGGTGTTTTATTCATTTCCTTCAAATACCAAAAATATTTAGATAGAGATGTCTGATTACTCTTATTAATATTGTTGAAGGAGCATTATGCTGCCTCCACCTGGTTTTAAATTCATTCTTCGTAGACCCAATGTATATCATATTAGTATTAGGACTCTCAATGGATGAGATAATACATTGGTATACCACAGATTTTACGCGGCATATATTTTCCAATGGGCAGTCTTCTGGGTTTCTACAATCACATAATTTTTCACTATTTTTGTCTAATTTAAGTGTAGGGTTTTTATTAATACTATTCTGGCATGGGGGTTTATTCAGGATTTTATTATTGTGTTTTTTTTATTATACTTTCTAGATTTTCAGTGCAACTGTAACTTAATTTTAGGGTGTTTTTATTAAATATTTTACTAAGTCTACTATTATTATTAGAAGGAAAGTGTTTTTTTCAATTAAAGCACTGGGAATTTATGTCCTAGTTTTAATTTTAACTAACCATTTGGTTGAACGGAGGGTATACCAAATGATTTTTCTTTTTTCCTGTTTTTTTCTGGTTAGTACAATTGTTTCTATAATTGATGTTAGAATTTTTGTATCCACTATTTTTTAGGGTTGCGTTATAAAAATTACTGTGTTGTTGGAATATTTCTTTATTAGCGAAGTTAATGCTGATTCTATTACCTATTGATGAGGGTATATGCTTAATTATGGATGGAGGGTGGTTTGACTTAGGGTGTATATACAAGGGGTTAGTGTTAGGTTTTCTATAAGGTAGGTATGTGTTGCTTGTTAAATCTAGAGTTACGTCGAGGAAGTTTACCCTTTTTAATTTAGTACAGACTGCTGTTTTTAAATTTAGATTTCTAAATTCACTATATATAATCTTTCTAATTTTCTCTATTTTAAAATTAGTGGAACTTCTCGCTACCATGAGCCCGTCATCTCTGTACAGCCCGATGTCCTTAATATATAATTCACGGTGCACGATCAGGTTGTACAGTATGAAAAGACCGACAAAGTCAGAAGACTCTGCAGGGTCTAAAGATCCCACTGGTACTTTTATTCAATTTAATTCAAATAATTATATTGAAGTTTTCGGCTCTTGTCTGAAACATGAGAACTCTTATGTAGCGATGGAATCATATTTTTAGATAAATAATTATATATATATATTATAAATTAACTGATTTAAAATGTTTTTCGCTACACTGTAATAACCATGTTTCAAAAATGGAAGCTAAAAACTTCAAATTTAATTTTGTAATTAAATTAAAAGCATTAATTCCATTTCATCTTCAAGCGAATATTAGAATCTCTTATTTTTAAATTTACTGAGTTTTAAACGCACACATAAAATTCATAATTCCCTGTTTCCAAGGATACAGAGAAATCCAATCATTTAGACAAGGGCGGTAGTGTGTTCATTTTTATTAACTATTTTTGTATCAATTATGAGTTACGTTCGAAAAAGAGTTCAAATTTAGGGAGGGTAGGAGTGTATTTTTCAACTAATTGCGACATCCGTTATATGCATGTCGTCTGGTGTTTTTTTTTTTTATTATTATTAACGGCAAAAAGTCTTTCGGCATTTTTTCCTACTTGTATATTCAAAATTTTTTTTTGGGGGGGATGTTTAGGTTAGAATACGTTTTATTTAACTATAATTTTTAAATATTTTCACTCTTAATTACTAATAGGCTATATTTCTTTTTAAAACTAGTAAATGTAATAAAATTACTTAAATTATATAAAATTATTTTTTTATATCAAATATAAGTATGTATATTACCAGCTCCCATTTTTTAAATATAATTTAAGGAAAAATTTTGACAAAATTTTCTTTAAAAAATATTTAAAAAGAATATATATATATATATATATATATATATATATATATATATATATATATATATATATGTATGTATTTGGGCAGCAATCCATATTTTATACAAGTTTCATTGAAAACGACTGAGAAGATAAGTTTTCTTTTTATTTATCTTTTCTTGTGTTCTTATAATTTTCTTCTTTTCCGGACATTCTAAGAACACAAGAAAAATTAAATAAAAAACTTAACCGCAATACCTTGTCGATCGTTTTTACTGAAACTGGCATATCTATCTATCTCTATCTCTATCTCTATCTCTCTCTATCTCTATCTCTCTCTCTCTCTCTCTCTCTCTCTCTCTCTCTCTATGTATCTATCTATATATATATATATATATATATATTAGGTTTTCCAGGAATTCGATCACCATATTGTGTTTGCTTCTTTTGATATCATTTCCGAGGCCGTAAAGTTATTGTCCTGAGATGCCATATTCTGCTGATTTCTGTCACGAGGGGCCTATTAGTATTGTGTCGCATATCGATGTAGTCAACGGAAGTTCTGTTCTTGAGTTATGGTAACAAAAAATCCTCCTCACAACAAGATTTTTTCGGGCAATTCTCGCACCATAAAGGGTGGCAGTTTCTCTGCTAGATTTTTGGTCTCTATTCCAATTTTCCCTAAACAATCTTTCAAGATTCAAGATGGTGTTCCCAGTACCCCCATTACTACAGGAATTACTTCAACAGTCTTGTTTCATAGCTTCTAAAAACTCTCGAGATAGATCCTGGTATTTTTCAATCTTTTCACTTTCTTTGGAGTTCACTCTTGTATGGAACAGCAAAATCATTAATTCGGCATTTGTTGTTCTTCTTACCTATAAGGTGCGATATTATTTTTTTTTTCCTTAATATTCTGCTCTGCTCACCCGTAAAGCCGAGTCTATCCCCTAGACTTGGGCTTACTTTGAGGATGTAATGCATAGAGTTCTTGTTCAATATGTGAGCAGTGTCAAAATAGACGATCTCTTAGAGTTCGCGTATTATGAAGTTGCCAGGGATTTTTTTTTGGGGGGGGGACATTATTATTATTATTATTATTATTATTATTATTGTTGTTGTTGTTGTTTTATTTCCTTTGGTTTCTGGTGTATTCTCATTTCTTTCCGGGTCCCGACCAGACACCTAAAGTCAGAAATGACATCATGAAATTTTCCACTGAGCAGTTTTGAAAAAAAAAATCGCATATATTTTACATAGATAAAGCCCTTCGTAACGTCTGGGCTGTACTTGTGAGTACAATTTTTTGTATTTCTTTAAGGAATGGCCTACCAGGAATCCCTTCAATGAGTCTATTGGAACCTTTTTCAATCAATCCGAGGGCTCCAACTACAACTGGAATTATTGATGTCCTCATGTGTCATATTATTATTATTATTATTATTATTATTATTTCCTTTGGTTTCTGTTGTACACACATTTCCTTCCATAAATGGCTTCATGACAATTTCCACTCATCATTTTTGCAAAAAGAAACAAAACTTAAGATCATATACATTTGACATAGATAAAGCTCTTCGTAATGTGTGAGTTTCAATTTTGAGTAAAATTTGTTGCATTCTTTGTACTTCTTTAAGACATAGACTACCAGGAATCCATTGAATGAGTTTAATGGAATCTTTTCCAATCAATCCGAGGGCTCCATCTACTTCTTCTTCTTCTTCTTTTCTGTGTCTTATGTTTCCTGTTTTGTATCATGTAGAGCCGGGTTCAAACTATGGTCCTTAGGTCCAATAGGATAATTATCATTTAACTGATAGCACTTTTCTTAGTATATGGGATGTTCCTAGTAGGGCGATTTTCTGTGCAACTTGTATGTTGGTGTAACATGGGACACTGTTAGTAAAATGGTCCATTCTTTTTCTCACGAGGCACACAGCACCGATTACTATTAATACAGTCTCAGTCTTAATTCCCCACATCTTGTTAATCTCGATCTCCATGTCCTTGTATTTGGACAAATTCTCGATAATTTTTATTGAGGTGTTTCTCCCAGATTGTACTGTTATGTCAATAAGCATACAGTTCCTGAATTTCTTGTCTTTGATGCTAATATCAGGTCTGTTGATTTTTATTTTCCCCTCAGTTTGAATTGGCATGTCCCATAGTATAGTTACTTCGTTATTTTGGGTTACTGTGTCTGGTTGGTGGTCATACCATCCCTCAGTGGTTTCGATTTTGTGCTTCTTGCATATCTTCCAGTGCACATATATCGCTACCTTGTTATGCTTGTGGGTATATTCATTTTTTGCTAGTTCGGGACATTCTGAGATAATATGGTCGACTCTTTCATCGTATTTTCCGCAGATCTTGCATTTCGGGTTTGTTCCATCATTGATTCTGTGACAGTGATAGGACCTGGTTGCGAGGCTTTGGTCCTGAGCTTCAATAATTAGGCCTTCAGTCTCCGCTTACAACTCGGTGCTCCTCGGCCCCTGATGTGTTTTCTCTTGGTTCACATCTGCTTCTTTCCTTCTTTTTAAGTATTTGCCAATGGACGCTTTGTCCTCCCAGTTTTGTTGTAATTTCATTTGGTCATGTTGTTTTGCCGTCTGCTTTACTCGTTTGGCATAGATGGTTATTGGCTTCGTTTTTTTAGTAGGATTTCAGTTATATTATGCTGTTTCTTGAAGAGTGCATCTTCTTTGTTGATTGAGTGGATTTGGTGTTTTACTATTTGTAGAAGAGGGTCATTAGTTTTTGTGGAGTACGTTTCCAGTCCAATTGTTGTTGTTATTATTATTATTATTTCCTTTCATTTCTGTTGTATACTCATACCCTTGCAACCAGAGGCCTAAGGTCAGAAATGGCAACTTGATATTTTCATGGAACCTAAGATCACACACATTCTACATTGATAAAGCCCTTCGTAGGGTGTGAGCTGTGCAATTTTATGTATTCCTTTCAGTTTTAGGCTACCAGGGATTTATTCAATGAGTCTATCAGAACCTTTTCCAATCAATCCGAGTGCTCCATTTACAACTGGAATTATTGATTGTCCTCATGTGCTACATTTTTACCTTTCCGCTCCAAGATCCTTGTATTTTGATAGATTTTTTTAAAGATCTTCAGAGATACATTACAGTCTGCCATGTCAATAAGAAAGCACATATTATTATTATTATTGTTTTTATTTCCTTTGATTTCTGTCGTTTACACATTTCTTTCCGGGTCCCGCCCAGGGACCTAAGGTTAGAAATGGCATAATGGCACTTTCCAATGACAAAAAAAAAAAAAAAAAATTACATAGATAAAGCCCTTTGTAAAGTGTGGGCTGTACTTGTCAGAACAATTTTTTGTACCTCTTTGAGGCATGGACTTCCAGGAATTCCTTCAGTTAGTCTACTGGAATCTTTTTCAACTAATCCTAGGGCTCCAACCACAACACGGATTGTTAATGCTCCCATGCATTATTATTATTATTATTATTATTATTATTATTATTATTATTGTTGTTGTTGTTGTTTTTATTGTTGCTAAGATGTTTTATTTTATTTTGTAATTCCATTTCAACAAAGGATCTCTGGGAGAATTTTTTTTTTTTTCAAACAGTTTCATAGTTTTTACAAATTCTCGTTAGACAGTAACGGATTTCTTTGTACATTCAACAAGTTATTGGTTTAGAGTTACACAAATAGCTGGGTCCTAAAAAAAAATTATCGAAGATTCTGGCGTAATTTTTAAATAAGTGTTTATTTTTAAATAAGTGTTTAATGTCCTTTAAACTTTATATAGTTAAATCCGACATTGCGACTGTTTTATTTACTACTTCCTAATGAATGAAAGTTGTTTTAACAATATTTCGGGTGTAAATATTGAAATCATACTACACGATATTACATGTGCTTATATAGATGTTTATAGTCGGATGTATTTGGTAAAATTCGATTTGTTAAGCCGATATCTAAGTTTAAAATGCATTTTAAAAAATGATTTAGTTTCCTTGAAGCTAATAGATTGAAAATACTTTGCTGTATTTCAAAACGAATTTAAATTGATTTGAATTTTTTTTCTCCTTACCGGTAAAATCCGTTCTTAGGTCCAAAAATGTTAAGTGAAAATATCAAGATGCCATTTCTGACCTTAGGTCTCTGGTTGGCAAGGAAATGAGTATACAACAGAAATAAAAGGAAAATAATAATAATAATAATAATAATAATAATAATAATAATAATAATAAAAATAATAAATAAAAAAATTAAATTAAATGAAACAATAATGTGGGTGTTAATGACCTCCTTAGGTCTTTCCGCAGAATAACAGTGTGTCCATTTGAAATAATAATAATAATAATCATAATAATAATAAGAAGAAGAAGAAGAAGAAGAACAATAATAATAATAATGATAATAAGAATAACAATAATAATAATAATAAAAAATAATAATAATAACAGCAACTCTAAAAATTCCGTTCATATTGACTGATCTGTCAATACAACATAATTCTCCTTATTATGAAATCTTTCATAAAAAATGTACTTTTCTAAAAATTTGTTAGAGAAAAATTAACTAATTTAAGGTTTAGTTAATCTGAACTGAAACAGATATTGTTAAAGCATTTTTCAGACGAAGAGGATGCTTTTTGATATGTTGCGTGATTTATTGACAACTTGATATTTGGGAAATTTAAGTAAGGAGGACATAATTGAAAAGAAAACATGGCGAATACAACGCAAACTCCTTTTGCATCTATTTTATAACAACCCAGTAATTTACCAATAAATTTTAAACTTATTATTAGTGCCTCTCTTATTTTCTGACGATATCAGTTACAGACGCCCGTATTTAAAAAAAAATCGATAATTTTAAACACATAAAAAATCGATAATTTTAAACACATAAAAATTCAAAATTCTTTTTAAGATAATGGGTATCGACGAATTTTATTGATCTTTTTCATTTATGATTAGTAAAAAAAACTTTTATTTAATAACAATAATATGACCACAACACCTTAATGCAGAATTTTAAAATATTTAAAACTTTAAATTATTATAACTAATAGTTTAAAGAAAATTAAAACATTTCTCTTAAAAATTCATTATTCATCGAAATATTTTTTCTTAAAAAACATATCAAAAAGCACTCTCTTCGTCTGAAAAATGCTTTAACAATATCTATTATTATTATTATTATTATTATTATTATTATTTCTGCTATGGACACACTACCTACCAAGTCTGCGGAAAGACCTAAAGGCAGGTCGTGGTGTGTTGTTATGGCCACATTTCATGTTTTTTTTTTTTTTTTTTTTTATCTCCGATGAAGTTGCTAGCGTTACATAGACAAAGTTCTCCTTAGTGTGTGT